CGATGGGGACCCCGTGTGAGAGGATGCAGGGATTCCCCCAATGAGCGAGGTCCCTGCCCACTGAAGGGGGAACCCTCAACATTTGTGTCTTCTGACGTATCGGGTGTACCCGGAGAAAGATGAACCAACGCTGTAGGTGTCTCGTGTGTAGTAAACCTAACGGCACCACAGCGTGGGCTGCAGCCATCATGCCCAGAAGTTTCATGACTAACAGGGCTCTCCCAATCTTGCAGGGTTGCACGCGGGAGATCACCGTGGTGAGATCTGCTGCTCTCGTCGGAGACAAACGTGCTCTCATTAGGGAGGCTCCACCCCAAGAAACACAATTGACTGGGATGGAAGGATTGAGCTCTTTTCCCAGTTTATGGAAAACCCCAGGGTTGACAGATGCTCTATTAACTTCCTGGTTTGGTCTGACGCCTTGTCCTTGGACCGGGCGCATAGGAGCAGATCGTCCAGGTAAAATAAAACCCTCATTCCCGCCGTGCGCAATGGCTGCAGAGCGGTCTCCAGACATTTGGAGAAGGTGCGCGGGGCTAGCGAGTAGCCGAAAGGGAGACGATTGAACTGGTATTGAACTCCCTTGATTGAAAAGCACTGGAACTTCCGGTGTTTGGGAATTACTGGGACGTGAAGTATGCGTCTTTCAGGTCAATCGACGTGAACCAGTCCCCGGAGCGCACGTATTCTAGGACTTGCCTCATTGTTAACATGCGGAAATGCATCACTGCTGTGAAACAGGGAAAGGTCGAGAATTGGTCTCATTCCTCCTGACTTCTTCGGTACTACAAAGTAGCGGGAGTAGAAGCCTGAGAGCTCTTGTCCGCGAGGGACTTGGGAAATGGCGTCCATGGACAGAAGTTCCTGTAGCTCCAGCTCCAGGGCCTGAGACTGTTCCTGTGACGTGAACGTCGTCTCCACGATCCCGTTGAAGGGAGGAGGAGCGGACTGAAAATGGAGTGTGTGACCGCATTGAATGGTGTCCGATATCACTTTGCTCACGAGACAAAAGTGGCGCCATTCGTGCGCGCGTTCCGACAGCGGACGCGTGTTCGAAGTCACCTGAACAATGTCTGAGGACTGGGTTCGCGCCCTTATCGCCGTCGCTCGCACCAGAGAACTGGGAGCGACCCACAAAGGGCTGCGCTCGAAAGGGCGAGTGTGAAACAGCTGGAAGAGGCTAAACCGCACCGTAGAGCGTGGAGTCCAAAGATAAAGGACGAGTGGGAGCCAGACCCGTGCACGGGGACGACAAAGTGCCAGCAGATGGAGCCGCTCACTGTGTCGCTGCGTGTGGTCATGATAGCGCCATGACATCCCGTCCCACCCTACGTTGTGGGGGGAGCGGGATGTCTTGGGCCTGGCTGGAAGCTAAGGCCAGTGCGCAAATGGAGCGCACCCTTACAGCTGCTCATGTAATATGACTGACTGCGTGAACATGCTGGTGTGTCGCAGTGCTTGGTGTGGGGAACATGTGTGAGGATTCGGCAGAGGATTCTGCAGAGGACTGTAGGATTGTGCTCTCAATGTGACGTTTTTTGGGTTTTATTTCAAAACCAAAATTATTCACAGAGTTAACATTACAGTCAGAAGCACACACATTCCCCCCAACGAGTCATTTTCGTGGTTGCTTTTGGCGAGGTTCTTGCGACTGTGACGGCCAAGACGGTATCTGCTGGCTCTTTCGAAACCGTTGGCTGCCAACTCTCTGGTCCCGCTGAGGTGGAACCGAAGCGGGAGGCCAGCTCCGTGGGGCGGGCGGAGCAGCTGGGCGTCTGAAGTTTCCGCGCCGTTCGTCCAATCCTCTGGAGGAACGGCCGGAGTGAGAGGCGGACCGAGGGTGGACCAGGTCTCACACCGTGGCTGACAGTTCAGCTGTCTTCTGAGCCCTCTCGATGACGCTCCTAAGATGGGGACCAAACAGAACGTCAGAGGTGATGGGGCCTTCCAGCATCTCTCTGTGCAGGCGTTCAGGAATGGAGGGCAGGGCCATGAGGCACAAGGCCCACTGGATAAGGGTCTGCCAGGCAGCAATGTGGCAGAACCGGTGAGTACAGGAGCACACAGATTGAGAATGGCATCAGCAGTTTTAGTAATGATGGTTTTCGACTCGTCAGGAAGTTCAAGCTCTTCCACCATTTTGGAAATGCCAAAGGCAAGAAGGGCAATGTTATTTCCTGCAGCGCCGGTCTGGAAGGCACACTGGTGTGCGCGATCGGTGAGCTGCGTCAGCAGCTGGTCATGCTTAAAAGTGGGAACTGCTCGCGGGCCAGTGAGGTAGTTCTTGGCGCCAAACAGCGAGGCCAAGTCCGGCTCCAGTGGAGGAACGGATGGCCAGCCCTGGTCGGAGAAGCACTTGACCTTGGTAATGGGCGGATATGTGGAAATTGGCGCTTTGAGCTTAGCAGGTTCGGAGAAGGCGGCGGACCAGCAGCTCATGGCAGCGGGGAAGCGCGGCCAGATGGGGTCTGGACAGCGCGTTTGTGTTGCCCCGAAAATTCCCACCAAATCATCCGCTTCAGGCGGAGCCGGTTCTGGCACGGCTAGCCCCTTGCGGACTGCAGCCGCGGAGATGATGGCAGGTAGCTCCTGGAGTAGTGCTCTAACTGCTGGCAATGAGGAGCGAGAAGGCACTGGAGCAGAGGAGCCCGCTGAGGGAAGCTCGTCGACCTCCGTGTTGTCCAGGATAGTAGCATAGCATAGCATAGCATAGTTTATTTATATAGCACATCTAAAATGCAGCATGGGAGCTGCCCAAAGTGCTGCACAGGCTAAAACAAAACACACCTTTACAAGGAGCTAAAACAAAGGATAAAAATCTCAATTAAAAGCAGATAAAACATGATGAATACTAAGAGCACATTAAAACAATGACACAATAAAACACTAAAACGAGTCACTGTCTAAAAGCCAAAGTGTATAAGTGGGTCTTTAAACGAGATTTAAAAACCGCCAGAGATGTAGCCTGCCGAACTGCAATGGGCAATGAGTTCCATAGCTTTGGGGCAGCATGGACAAATGCTCGATCCCCCCGCGATTTGAGTCTCATCCGCGGCGTATACAGCAGCAAAAGGTCAGCCGACCTCAACGAGCGGGTGGGCACATATGGAGTGAGAAGGGCAGAGAGGTAGGAAGGTGCCAGGTCATTGAGTGCTTTAAAAACAAAAGTCAGTAACTTAAACTGCACTCTGAAAATGACAGGGAGCCAGTGAAGACGTTCCAGGACAGGGGTAATGTGGCTACGTCGGTGTGTACCCGTCAAGAACCTGGCAGCAGCATTCTGAACAACCTGCAGCCGATTCAGGGCAGAGTCCGGAACACCAATGAGTAGGGCGTTTGCATAGTCCAGGCGAGAGGTAATGAAGGCATGGATGACTGACTCCAAATGCCTCCGTTTCAGGATTCGCCTGAGGTGAGTAAGGCGGCGAAGCTGATAAAAACAAGACCTCACTACAGAGTTTATCGGTGGGGCCATTGTGAGTCCAGCATCCAGCTTGACCCCGAGACTCGTCACACACTGTTTGGGGTTAAGGGTTAAAAGGTCACAAACAGGGTGAGAGCCATGGTGGTTGCGGGGATCAAAAACAATAAACTCAGACTTCTTTTCATTCAGTTTTAAGAAGTTGGATGCCAGCCAGCCCTTCACGTCCTGCATACATACAGCCAAATTTCGAGCCTGCATTTTTCTCATCCATTTCCACGTATAGCTGACAGTCATCTGCGTAGATGTGGTAGCTCAGGCCATGCTGATTCAGGATATTGCCCAGAGGCAGAAGGTAGATTGAAAACAGCAATGGCCCAAGAACGGAACCTTGCGGCACCCCCCAAGGCAGTGGAAGACTGGAGGATGCACAGTCACCAATCTGTACAGAGATGGTACGGTTTGATAGGTAGGAGCGGAACCATTTAAGCGCCACCCCCATCACCCCAACCCAAGACCCAAGCCGATCCAGTAAAATATGATGATCGACCGTATCAAAAGCCGCTGAAAGGTCCAGCTGGAGCAGCAGTACCGTAGACCCAGAGTCAGATGCCACTGAAATGTTATTTAGCACCCTAATCAAAGCAGACTAAGTGCTATGGTTTGGTCTAAAGGCTGACTGAAATACATCCAACAACGAGTTGCTATTCATATGATATGGGCAGAGATCTGGCCATGCACAATTTTCTCAAGGACCTTCGAAACGGGACTTTCGATTTAGGGCGGAAGTTCTCATAAGTGGAGGGATCCAACCCAGGTTTTTTCAATATCGGCTGAACAACCGCATCTTTAAAAACCTTAGGGAACACTCCAGTGCTGAGGCTAATGTTAAAAATGTTCATGAGTGCCGGGCTCAGCGCAGACACCGAGTCACGCACCAATTTAGCTGGGAGGCAGTCCACCGAAGAGCCAGCTGGCTTCATGGAGCTAATCAGTTTCATCAAGTCAGCAAGCTGAACAGGAGCAAAGTCTGAGAAGGCAGGTGGATCCGGCGGTTCTACATGGATAGTGTGTATCTGAGGCTGGAGGCTAAGCCTAATACCAAGGATCTTGTTGAGGAAAAAGCTCTGTAGCTCTGTGCATAAAGCAACAGTAGGATTTAGACCATCAGACTCATTTAACAGTAGCAAGGAGTTAACTGTGCTGTACAGCCTGGACTGGTCTCCATGATGCTGTGAAATGATAGCAGAAAAATAGTTATTACGAGCAGATCTAACTGCTCTCTGGTAGCGTGAAAGTGCATCAACCAGGAGCAGCCGAGAGCATGACAGTCTGTCTCTCTTCCACCTCCGTTCCAGCACCCTACCCTGTCGCCTGAGGCTACGGGTGTAATCATTCAGCCAAGGGTCACATGTTGTCTGTTTCCGCCTCGGTCTCAGAGGGGCTACAGCGTCCAGAGCAGCAGAGCAGGTCACACTGAACCGATGCAGAAGGCCATCTACATCCATGCAGGAAACTGACAAGGGCGGGTATCGATTCAAATTTCCAGAATGGATTCGATTCCGATTCTTGAGATTTAAAATCGATTATCAATATCTAATCCGATCGATTCCGATCCGATATCGATTCAATTCAGGTCATCAATTTAAAAACATTTTTGCAGTTACCATAATTCCATGACTGCATAGTTGTGCAGTATATTGATAATATTGACATTCAATGATACATTAATGAAATATTGGCCATTAAAAACAGTTGTAAGGACCAGTTCCTCTCCAAGAATGTTAAGTGTTTCCAGTGTTTTCTAGGACATCATTAAATTCAGATGTTAGGAATTCAGCCAAAAGCTATTGCTGTTGAAAGCAAATGCCATTTTTATTCAGATAAGTTTAACCATATGAAAAAAGATATTATTTGCCAGTGCAAATGTAAACAAAAGCAGAAAGCTTAAAATTAACGGCTTTCGTTTTACTTTATGCAAATAGAAATTAAAAGGTACAGAACCTTAAACAACTGTTTCACAGTCTTGTGCAAAAACTTACACACTTCAAGTATCCAGAAACATTCAAATGCAGTTAAAGTACAACAATGTAAACTTGTGAAAAGTGAAAACTGAAAGGCATTCCATATTAATGTACAAACAAAATTGAACAGGAAATTAAACTTGACTAAAGACAGACTGTGTAAACTGTCCTCTTATGAACATCACTTGGGAATGGTAAGATTCTTCTGCAGGAAAAGTAGCTGATTCACATGACCAGGGGTGAGACAGCTTCTTTTTGCAGTGATTATATCACCTGCAGTTGAAAAAACCCTCTCAGACGCGGCACTGGTCCCAGGGACACAGAGATATCGCTTAGCCATGCGAGCCAAAAGAGGATACTCTTTTTCATTCTCTCTCCACCAGACCAGAGGATTGTCCTGCAGGTCTCCTCGCCCTGTACCTCTTGATCTCATCTTCTGCCACCTCTGCAAGAGTTTTCTTTGCATGCCCCCTCTCCTCTCTTGGTATGTAGGCTTCCCCAAGGAGAGACTCCAAAGCACTGGATTGCTTGGGGTTAGGTGCAGGGGGGTTGTTTTCCTCCTCTTCCTCCATTTCATCAACTTCATCTTGCTGCATGAGAGAAGAAATACTTATATGTGTCGTTGTGCAACAATAGGCTTTGGTTTGGCTATGAATAACTTAACATAACATAAATCTGTCATTTTGATCTAAACTATCAAGTCAGACAACAACATGGATATCAGGAAAAGTGTTCAGTCTTGGTTCTTAGAGTTGTGTATTTTTGAAGGTTACAATAGCTTACTGCCTTGTGTATTTGAGTGTAATCTTATTATTTCTCATTTTCTCCAAGGATATGTGATGCTGTAGCGAATTAACTTCCCCACTGTGTGATTAATCTGAGTATATTCTATCATCTATGAATACCTGCCTGCTCAGGCTGAGATTTCAAATATTTAAATATTTAAATATTTAAAAATATGTTTCTGAACAGTAAGAAACTGCACATTTATAATTGGAATAAACACAAACAACTTCTCCCTGATAGGTAAGAGTTTAACAAATGTAATTAAACATGTCAGTTAATATACTTCTATCAACAAACTCACTAACCTAGTAACACTCAACGAAGATACTACTACTAAATATGAAAGAATAAATGAAAACTAAAATGAAAAATATACAAATAACAATAAAACCAATAACATGTTGTGAAAACCAGGTTTAATAGGATGATTTCAGAAAATAGGCAAAATTAGCTTTCAACTAATTCAGATTAGACTTCACCAAAATGTGTGTGTGAGAGAGAGAGATCAGTTACATGGTAGTATTTGCTTGGGTTTTCTTTTTCACAAGGCTTCTTATTACTTACATTAGATGCTTCTTCCTCCATCCCACCCACTGCTTCAGCCTGGAGCCTGGAGAAGGTGTGCTCTCGCTCCTCCTCACCCAGAAATGGCAGGGCTTTGAAGCGTGGATCAACAGCTGAGGCGGCATGCAGCATGGCCGTCTCACATACCTGAAATATAAATGTCACACATTTAAATCTATGCAATTAGGGAGATAATATTTTCTTAAATTGTTTAATTAAATACACAATATAACCTATTTTCTCTCTCACACGCACAAAAAAGGCCTACCTTGTGCTCAGGTTTTTCTTGATCTCATTCTTCATATCCTTAACAACTTTGGAGTTTTCTGGGAGGCTGGTCATCTCCTTCAGCAGCAGAGCACGCAGGGGTGCGATCATTGAGAGAGTTGTTGACTTTTCTTCTGACATGACTTCAGTAGCTTTTTTCAATGGCTTCAGAGCTCTGACCACATCTTCAGCATCAGTTATGTCTTCCTCTTTCAGACTGCACAAATCTTTTTCATTTCTGCGGACTTCAGGTGAGAGCAGAGCAGCAGAGATAGCAGGCTGCTGCTCCAGAAAACGTTTGAGCATTTCCAGTGCACTATTCCATCTGGTCACAACATCGTGTGAGCTTGTGTTGTTTAAGCTGCAATAGTTTCTGCTTTTCTTTCAAGATGCGGCTGGATGTTGTGCTGCGATGGAAGAACGTTACAATGTGCCTCACTCTCCCAAGCAGGCGTGCGATATTTGGGAGTTTGAGACCGGTTTGTGAGGCGAGGTTTATGATGTGTGCAAAACAGCCAATGTGTGTTAACCCCATCATCTCAACCTGGGACGTAATTTTGGGGGGGGGACGGGTGGGACATGTCCCCCCCACTTTTTCAAAAGGCAGTTTTGGTCCCCTGCACTTTTTTCCGTCCAAAAACAATGTTACGCTCCATTAAATGGATTTGGTTGAGCACTAGGACCGAAACGGAAACCGGTTTACTATTAGACCCGCCCAAAAGCTAATCTATTGGCTCTGCTGATACTTGCTAACGTATTATTGGCTGTTGCTGTTGTCACTCAACTTGTAAACAGTCAGAACGTGCTCACGTTGTTTTGCTAGTTTGGAGCCGCTAGGGAACACCGGTACTGAGTCACATCGTCAACTAGACGCTGTGTAATATCAGAGCTCAGCTCAGCTTCCATTACATAACATTTGAATAAGTGTTCATTTGTGAGTCTTTGGTAGTTAGGCACAGCCAGGAGGCAGCATGTCAAGAAAACGAAAAGTGGATATAAGAGACTTCTTTCAAAGTCAAAACGTAAGTTGGAACATGTGACACCCCTGCATTAAGCTCAGACTCACCTCCTCCTTCACAAACATACTCAAAACTAACTTTTACAAACTCATCTCCTCCACATAACTGACTCCTCAGACACAATTTATTCGTATTATTATAATAATTATTTTTTCATTATTACTATTATCATCATAATTATTATTACTAGTAGTAGTAGAAGTGTAACTTCAAAACTTTTATCATTTAACTTTATTGTAAACTTATCTATTGCAATGTATATTTTCACATTAAAAAGCTCTGAAAAATGAACAGTATCATCGTCAACAGATTTTTTTAAGCTTAAATGGCCTGTATTTGATATAGCGCCTTCTAGAGTCCTGGAACCCCCCAAGGCACTGTACAACACAATCAGTCATTCACCCATTCACACACTGGTGGGGATGAGCTACGATGTAGCCACAGCTGCCCTGGGGCGCACTGACAGAGGCGAGGCTGCCGAGCACTGGAGCCACCGGTCCCTCCGACCACCACCAGCAGGCAATGTGGGTTAAGTGTCTTGCCCAAGGACACAACGACAGCGACAGACTGAGCGGGTCTCGAACCTGCGACCTTCCGATTGCGAGGCGAGCACTTAACTCCTGTGCCACCGTCGCCCCAATGTCAAAGATGTACACTTTTCATTAGATTTATCTTATTTTTTCCATTTATTTTTTGTGTGTTGAAATGCAACAACTGTTTAAACACTTTTAAGGGAAAAAAACATTTTTAATATGTTTTTATACACTCAAATGTTAGGGTGATGATCATGTGTAAAACATTAGTTCAGCATGTCCTCTAACACAGCAAATGAACAAACGGCCAGATCTCATGAGGGACCGTTTATGTATAAATAATTTTTATACTTTTGACTAGGCCTGGGAATGTAACAAATTTTGCTGGACGATATTTTGTCCAACAAATTATTGATGATAAACGATATTGTCAACATTATCTAGACCAAAATAACCACTAATCTAATGTTAATATATCATAATAATGCAAGTACACCCTTTAAAATGCAACAAATAAACCTTCATTTAACATTGAAATGTCCAGAACCAGAACTTCTAAATGAATAAAAATAACAAACAAAAATTGAATAAAAAAGGAATCTCACTCCCTGTTAGAAAATGTTGCACCAAAATCAATAAAAAAGACCCAAAACAATAAATACAATGGCCTATCCATTGTCAACAGCCAAAACTGCACTTCAATAATGATAATAAATAAAAATAATAATAGAGTTGTACATTTTTTAACTTTGATATATATATATATATATATATATATATATATATATATATATATATATAGAGGATGGAAAAATTATTGAGATGGGCACGTGACGTGTCAAGGGGTCTTTACATAACACCCCCCACCCCAAATCCGCACAAGCCTGCTGTGTCCCCCCCACTTCTGAAATCAAAATTTCGTCCCTGATCTCAACAGCACCAATCATATTAGCCGCATTGTCGGTCACCATAGCAGGATCTTTGCTCATCAGCCCCCACTCCTCTATCGCTGCGGTCAACATTTTTGCTAGACTGGCAGAAGGATGGTCAGTTTCAACTTCTGTGGTCTGTAATACGTACGAGTTGAGGTTCCACTCCTCGTCAATATAGGGTGTCGTCAAACTCATGTACGATTCCGTAGCCACAGATGTCCAGGTGTCCGTTGTAATGCCCACTCTCTCTGCTGACTGAAGCTTACTTTTCACATTTTCTTTCACCGACTGGTACATGTTTGGGATGACTTCTTCTGAAAGACGTTTGCGCGAAACCATAACATATTGCGGCTCCGCTACTTTCATTAGCCGCTTGAAGCCCTCGTTTTCAACGACAGAATATGGGCGCATATCCTTGCAAATGAAGCCCGCTATCGCCTCGTTATTTTGTGAGAACGTGTAGAATTAGCCGGTAGTTGTAGTGATTCCTTGATTTACATCTGCTGCAGACCAGTGGACGGCTTGCACGCAAGATCTTGGTGATGTCGCAAAATGTGATTGTTGAGATTGGTTCTATTTCCGCAATATTTCACCTCCATTTGCCAT